AATTAACGATTATCCTTGGTTACTCTTTACTTCCACCACGGATGGGTGGTAGCTGGAGTCACACAGATTCTTCCTGTGTATGGGTGGGTTTGTAGTGGCAATTGGTGTGCAAAATACTCTTACTGCTTGGTGTTGGGATGTTACAGGCAATAATCACTGCCACTGTTAAACCTCTCCTGATTTTATACCTTTAAAATTAAACAAGATAAAACCATTTTCTTTAAAGAAGTCTGTGCTGTCAAGGGAGCAAATTTTGCTATTATTAATTTTAGTTTTGCTGAAGTCTGTGGACTTAACCCTCTACATAAAAAAAAAAGCAAATAAAATAATTTCTTTCTCTTATGAAGTACTTTGAAAATGCTGGCCATCAGATCACAGGATGAGGCAGGAACTCCTGTGAAGCCTGGAATTTTTTCCTAAAGTGTGTGGGAAGCAACTCTGCACCTCACATACTTGCTTGGATCTAAGTGGGCCAGTCAAGCCAGCGTGGTTAAGAATATTTTGCTTTAAATCCTCAGTGTTTCCCCCCTGTGCTCACAAGCCTGTTTGAATCCCCACACCAGGTGGTACCTTTTGCTCATTCCTTGGAAAACTGTAGAACTGATAAATATGTAAATATGTACAGCTTTCCCAAAACGAGGTAGCTTAGTTCAGGTAGTGCCAGTTTAAATACATAATTACAAGAACAAACTCACCCAGGTCATTGCGATCATGCTGTTAAAGATCCGTGGCTTGAAACTGGTGTTTCATGTCATATTATTTCATATTCCAACCTAAACCCAGAATGGTTCAGGTTGGAAAACGTGTGGGGTTTTTCATGTGCTTTGCTGAAAGATTGTGGTCTCCTTGATCCTCCCATAGATACTTTGTTACAATTAAATATATTATGTCGAAGGGGAACGATATAAATGCATTTTAAACTTAGTCCCAAATTGCCATGATATTCCCAGATATTTGCCTAAAATCATGGAATTGTTTAGGTTGGAAAAACCCTCCAAGGCCATCAAGTCCAACCATTCCCCAGCACTGCCAAGGCCACCACTAACCCATGTCCCCAAGTGCCACATCCACAGGGCTTTTAAATCCCTTCAGGGATGGGGATTCCACCATTGCCCTGGGCAACCCCTTCCAATGCCTGACAGCCCTTTCCATGAAGAAATTTTCCCAATATCCAGCCTGAGTCTCCCCTGGCACAACAGAGGCTGTTTTCTCTCATCCTCTCCCTTGTTCCCTGGGAGCACAGCCTGACCCCATCCCAGCTCCCCTCTCCTGTCAGGGAGTTGCAGGAGCCAGAAGGTCCCTCCTGAGCCTCCTTTTCTCCAGGCTGAGCTCCCCCAGCTCCCTCAGCTGCTCCTGCTGCTCCAGACCCTTCCCCAGCTCCGTTCCCTGCTCTGGACACAAAATATATATGTCTATATACATATTTGACAACAAGGCAGTCCATATTCCTCAAGTGAGGGTTTTTAGAGAAAATTGGAGCTTTTATTTTTGATCAGTGAAGTGAAGGAGCTTTGCTCTGTGCTGGCTCTTGTTCGTGCTGAAATACAGTTTGAATATTTAGTACCAGTGCTGCTCTGCGGGTTAATGAAAAGACAAATGTTTTAGTGTCGGGTTTCCATTCTTACATTAATTCATTAGCCAGATGTCATCTCCACAGGGACTGTAGAGCAAAGTCAGTACCACAGTTGCTTGCAGCATTTCTTGTGTGCCACCTTGTGACTCTTAGCTTTGCCATTTTCTAGCTAAGTGTTACTGTAATTTACCTTCTGTCTCTTCACTGCACAAAAAATACCTAGTCTCTCACTCCTCCGTGTCTCTCACTCCACTCTCCCACCCAAGCAAAGGAAAGAAAGCCACTGCTAAGCTTGCCCCCAAGTACCTGGGAATGAGCTGCTATTTTTGTACCCCCCCATACTCTCTCCGTGAATCTATCCATGGGGATATAACAGTATTAATACTTCTGTTCAGTGCAAGAACACCATTTCACTGGTGTGTGTGTGTGTGTGTGTTTTGGGGTGGTTGCTGAAATTCTTCCTCACTAGGTGTTTCTGTTGAGTGAACTCAAATTTTGCAGGTGGTGTTGCCTAATCTTGTGTGTGGCAAAATTCAATTTTGTGTTCTTGTTGTATGAGTAAGAGCGAGTGGGCTGTAGGTAGTTTTTAAGCATTGCACTTCATTTTGGTAGGAAAAAGAATGACTCGAGTGTTAAAAGCTTTGCTGAAGATCTGAAGGCCTTGCTTGGTTTTTCGCTGGTTTTGATCCTGGCAACTTGCAGAAATTAGGCAACTCTGTGGAATTTGTTTGAGGATTTTGTGTGGATTTTAATAACTCAAGGAGAAGAAAAAAAATCTGTAAGAACACTATACTTTGAACTCTTAACTGCTTAGAAATGAGGGGAAAATGAACCATAATTCAAAGCTTCATGTCTGCATTTATGGTTTAAATCCTGAAGCAATTATAATAACCACTCAGACTGTGTCCCCAGGATCTTTGAATAGTGGGAGGTGGGTCACGTTGTGTTAGATGATGATTATTCAGTACCTAAGAATTCTCTGCTGAGTTGGTGTCCTATGCAATATTCACCCTCCCTGCTCTTAGGAAGGAATAAATCCTGATGACAAGCAGCCAGCTGGGCAAATTTAGAAGTTTGTTGTTTTTTTTTTTAAAGTGCAAGGTCACGCAGACCTAGAAAACTGTGTTGTCATGAACCTGTTGTGTGTAGTTGCTGGTGGTGTGTTCTTGCTCAATACCATTTGTTTTTAATTACTCCGCATGTTTTTAGTGCTGAAACAGGAGACCACCTTTGAGACCAAGTCCATTGTTTTTAAAGTATATATCAAAGTGTAACTTTTTCTGAATCTTATGGTTCAAAGCATAAGAGAGGAATGAATGCTGATATTTGATATCAGGACAAGCCAATCTGCATAAAGTTGTCTTAGGATATTCAGCTGTAGGTGAAGAGCTGTCTCAGCTGTCAGCTCTCTGCACAGTAAATTACTCTGGTATACAGGGAAATTTGCAGCCATCTTAAAACCTAATATGTTTGATGTCTTTATCTTGAATAATTTCCTATTGAAGGGTTTTGAAATAATTCCTTTTGCTGCTGTTCCTGCCAATGTCTTCTAGTCCTCAGGAGTTTGGTCACAGCTCAAACTCCACAGCTTCCAAGAGCACATATCCACAGGGTTTTTGGCAGTGGAGCGGGTTTAGGTGCTTCCCACACAGCACCACTGATAATCTTGGGTTGATTGTATTACCAATCTAAATTTAAAAACAGAAAGAAGGAGGGCTGTTTTTCCCCACCACTGTCTTTTAGGTTGCTGGCAGAGCTGTAGGTGGTTGCTGAGATGGGGTTGAGCAGGTGGGACAGAGAGTTAGTCTCTGATGGTTTTGTACAAATCAGATTACTCTTCAGAAAACTTAATGCTTAGGAAGGAACAGCGACTTTGGCAATCTAGTTATGGCAGTAATCAGTTTTGCTATATTTTTGTGTGAGAGTAGTGCTGCAACAGAGGCTGTACCACCAACCTTTATAGGCTTAGCACTGTTCAGGTGTCATTACATTGCTACTTTCCTGTTTATTCTGAGGGTGGTGGTTGTCATATCTTTCATTACAAGGATGTGGCTGCATGAGCTCTGAAATTGTTCAGCCTCTATTACATACAGTTAATTCAGTTTGTATAGGGGCTGTACAGTCTCCTCCAAAGCCCTGAGCAGTAGCACCTGCAGTGATAGGACAAGGGGTGATGGTTTTAAACTTGAAGAGGGTAGATTCACAATAGCTAGGAGACAGAAGACTCAGACTAGACAGAAGTGAGAAATTTTAATGACGAGGGTGGTGGAACAGAGTGCCCTTTAGTTATTAATATTGAGACACCTTCGTATGGCTCAGTGCGGCACTGGAGACAATATCTGGTTATTCATCTTGTTTTCCCATCTGTTGAGGATGTTTTTGAGTATCACTTATCCTGCACTGGTAGATTTGTAGTGTTGCAAGTATGTGTTTGACGCAGATGGTGTTTACTTTCAGTGGTTGTTGGCTGGTTTTGCTTTACTGCTTTATTGTTCTTTTCCGATGATGGTTTTCTGAGGCATATCAACAGGCAATTAATGAAGTTACAAAAAATTTGGTGTTTCTGATGTGATTGTTGCATTAGTATAATAACGTTAATTCAAGGAAACGCTTAGCTTGAGGTTAAATATTGGGTTAAGGTTTCTTTAATTCGTGCTTTAAAAATATATAATTTCAAATGAAATTTCTTGTAAAAAAAAATCAAGTTTGCTCTTTAGGCTGCTGTTCTACGTGTATTTTCAGTAGTGCCAAACTAAGCGTGACAGCACTAGGGCCACAAAGGCAGTGGTAAAACAAATGATCACAGAATTGCTTAGATTGGAAAGGGGCTCTGTGGTCATCCATTCCCCCAGCACTGCCAAGGCCACCACTAACCCATGTCCCCAGCTGCCACATCCACAGGGCTTTTAAATCCCTCCAGGGATGGGGACTCCACCACTGCCCTGGGCAGCCCCTTCCAATGCCTGACAGTCCTTTCCATGAAGAAATTTTCCTTGAATATCCAACGTGAACCTCCCCTGGCACAACTTGAGGCCATTTACTCTTGTCCTGTCACTTGTTATTTGGAAGAAGAGACATTTCACTTCAACAGTTCACTTTTGAGTGTTAGCTTCCTGCTTTATAGTTGCTGTACTTCAAATACATGTTGCAGTGCCTGGTATTAGGATGACCAAGCACTGGAATGGGTTGCCCAGAGAGCTTGTGGAGATACTCCAAAGCCACCTGGACACGGTCCTGGGCAGCTGGCTCTAGGGAACCCTGCTTTAGCAGGGAGGTTGGACAAGCTGACCTCTGCCAGCTAATGGATTGCTGAAATTAAGTGCTTCATACAAGTGTTTTATGACTGTTTTGTAATGAATTTTCACTTCCAGTGCAGGAACCCAACTGCTTGTGTAACCGTTTTTCTTGTCTTTTCTTTCTTCCGTAGCGCTGACTTAAAACTCTTGGAAGAAGCCACAATCTCAGTCTGCAAGTCTTTAGGTGAGAAATTGTGACGTTTTTTCCATGTGCTTTTCCAGAAAAATCAAGGATCAGCATCCCTGTGAAGACATTCATGTCTTCAGTGTTCTATTTGTACGTGTTCCACTAGTAAGATTAAAGCAGTGTAAAGATTGTGTTTATGTATATCCCAAACCTTTAGAAACTTCCACCATTAACTGTTTTACAGAATGATACGACTGAAAGGTTTAAAACAAACATTTCCACCCCTACTACCTCTTCTTCCTTCTGGCTTCTAATCTGATCAGTAAGGGGAAGGGATCAGAGGGCGAAAGGAAGGAATGATATAAATGTGATCAACGGTGTTTCAAGAAGGTAAAAGGTAGTTGTGAAAACCTGCCCAGTTTTCTGACAGGAGACTGCTGTGGTGTAGACAAGTCTTGGAAAGGAAGCAGTATGAGTATCCCACCTTGGGGCTATTTTAAATCCAGGGTGAATAGTATTTAGAGAACAATTATGCAGTGGTAAATCATGTGCTGGAGAATCTTAAAAGAGCAACACCTGTACAGCCAAACAAGGCATACTGTGCTTTATGTAGAAATATTTAAGACACTGAAATTTGTGGGTTTTTTCTGTATGTTGTTTGAATGAAATAGTGTCAACTTAAACATGCTATGTAATTTTATCTTATTTTTCCTTATCTAGTTGAGAAGAATCCTCGGACAGGAAACCTTGGGTCATTGATTAAAGTCTTTCTTTCTAGAACCAAAGAATTAAAAATTTCGGCAGAATGTCAGAAGTAAGTCCCTGGAGAAAAAGCTTGTGTGCCATAATTTTTTAAATGTTCCTTTTGTTGCTAGCTCTTGAATTTTTTACTTTACTAATTAACATGCTCACAGACCAAACCTTGGAATTCTCTTATATTGTGGTTTGAAGCAGAACAAGTGTCTAGTACTTTTCCAAACACAGAAGATTAAGTACAATAGTAGATAGGTTGCTGATGAAAAATACATATTTGTGTTTTAGATGAACATATTTGTGTACAAATGGTGTAAGTTAGGATTACTACTGGTTTAGAGCTGTTTAAAAATCACCTGAACTTTTTAGCTCAAGCTTAATGAATAAGCCAGTATTTTGTCTTGGAAATGTTTAGAATATATAAATAATAAAAGCACATATAAATATATAAAACATATGTTTATAAATATATGTATAAATATGTATCGAGGTATTGCTTTCATGTCATGTTGTGCAGCTGCCACTGGTTTTGCTTGCCCCTTTCAGCAGTAGGAAAGAACTCCAGGAGGTTACCTGTGCAGCACTGTGGGGCTTTTGCAGGAGTCTTTCCGTAGTTGCTCCCTGACACCCATAGATAAATGTCCCACTCTCATCAGATCTGAGGCTGCAAAAAGAAAACCTCCTTGCTCCCAGGACTGCCATCAGTTTTTTTGCTTGTACCTGGAGAAAGAAGTTACTCCTGCCTGGAGAGCTCTTGCTGCTTTAATCCAAAGAAACCTTGAAAGTGGTAGTTGACTCTGTGCTGTTGCATGGGCTTCCAAGCAGTTACTTATTGGGACTCAAGAAAATGTAATGAAGCTATATTCCCCTTTCATGCATGAAACCTGGCAAATATTTGTGTGAGTTGCATAGGAAAGCTGTATGGTGCTTGTGAAGTCCACAAATGCCTATGGTTACCTGAAGGTTATTTGGCTGGGAGAAGGGATAAGGTTCATGGAGCCAGAGAAGCTTTCAGGTCTCAAATCTGTTGGAACTTTTCCAGTGTCTGGGTGCCTTGAGTCCATAGTGTCTAGAAACCTTCAGATGTTTGCTGAACCATCAAAGACTAATACTTCTGTCAGCTCTGGTGTTTGTAACTATAAATGTCATTGGGAATAAGGTTATATATTCTGTACTACTTTTAAATACATTTCCATTGTGTTTTCAGTTTTCAATTGAACTCCCTGCTTGAGCAGTTTGGCTTTTCCTTGCTTCAGCTCCAGGGGCTTTGTCTACTCTGGCATTTATTTTCTTGTGGTTTTTGATGTATGCTTGCTGGTGAAGCATTACTGATTCTTGTTTGTTTCTGCTTCTTTTGTAGCCACCTCTTTATCTGGCAGGCTCACAATGCACTGTTCATTATTTGCTGTCTGCTGAAGGTATTCATCAGTCGAATGTCAGAAGAGGAGCTCCAACTTCATCTTACTTACGAAGAGAAAGCAGGACCAGGCTCATATGGTGGGTACACACTGGTAATAGTGAAATAAACATCCCATGAGAAAATAAAATGTTCTCATGTTTGTAGGTGTGGCACTTAGGGAAATGGTTTAGTGCTGGACTTGGTACCGAGTCAGGTTAATGGTTGGACTTACTTAAGGGTCTTTTGCCTTTGACCCTTTAGGGTCTAATTAATCTGTGATTCTGTGTTTTGTTTGGACTAAGAATCCCAAACTTTGCTTTAAAACTAGGAATTAAGTGCTAGAGGTTTGGATTAATTTGGCAATTTTTAAACAGTTGTTCAGAAGTGATGCTGTAGACCTACTTGCCATTTTCACACAGTTTGAGAGGTGTTAATGGTCCTCTTCAGAGGAACAGAACAGAACTGGGGTGAAGCTGACTGTATACTAATGTTGGAACAGCAATATTGAAATTTAATGCTTCTTTTCACATATTTTTCATAAACCAACAGCGGCCACGGAGTGGAGTTAATGCAATTTTTAGGAATCTAGTGAGGGAAGGTAACAGTACTGTGGTTAGACTTGATCCATTGAAAAGGCAACTGCTGGGCAAGAGTTTATACAAGAGTACAAGAAAAGCCAAAGAATTTAGGCAGAATGTTCAAAAATGGGTGCATCTCCAGGAAATGGAGCATGTATTACACAAAATGGAAGATGGCAGGGAAGATGCTCAAGTAATCCAGCTTGTTTTTTTTCCTGTTCTTTCTTTTTGGATAAGTATAATACGAATGCATTCAAAATCAGTTAGACTACAGCAAAAAGACAGTGTTAACAGTGTCTGCCACAAATCTTTGCGTAGCACTGTATCAGGATGCTCTTACAGGGTTGCAAAGCACATGATGGATAACGCTGGCACACGGGAGCCTTGGTTTCCATTGCTTTGATGTGAGTCCTGGAATCATGCAGGTTGGAAAAGCCCCTCTGCGGTCATCGAGTCCAGCCGCTAACCCAGCACTGCCAGGGACCAGTCCAGGCACTGTTCAGTTTGCAAATCCACTTTGTTTACCCCAAAAAGGCAAGAACGTCTCAGAATGCTGATGCAGTGTGAGCGGATTGTGGGAGGACAACCAGGAGGATCTCACTGTGGATTTCCTGCAAGGGGGATGCACACTGAGGACCCCGAATGAGCTGCTTGCTCATTGAGTACAGTGAAAACTGCTTGTTAAAGTCTGTTTAACTCCTTGGCGCCCGCCACTGCTCTGGGGAAATCAGAATTCTGGTGCCAAAAGATTAAGTGCTACATGTTGAAATGGTTTAATGTATTTAAACTGTGATGAGTGATCTCCAGGAATGAAGTCAGCTCGCTGATGCATTAGAAAGGAAAGCCTGCTTGTAATAAGCTGTCCCTGCAGGCTGCTGTGGGTTAGTTCCTGGACTGAAAAAATGGCCCACCTCTTGTTGCAGTGTACAGCATAACCCAGTGGGATGGGTGGAAAAGCTGATACTTTTGTTAGCTTGAACCCCTGTGATCTTTATCCTTGCTCGGGGAGTTCCTCGCAGCGTGGTATGGAAAGTGATTCTTGTCACTGGGGTAGATCCGTGTTTATACCGTGTCTAGTAGCACTTGACTGTAATTCACAGTGACATTTATTAGCGATAATTTTGTGCATATTGGTGGCAAATGTACTTAGCAATTATCTCCGAGCAGATTGTTCATGGGATGTTGTTGATTAGGAAGGTAATTGTGTGTGGTCTGCTGGGGAGGCAGGAAATGAGCCGCTCCTCAGCTCCTCCTCGTGTTTCCAGCTGGGGATGGTTCTTGTGCCCTTCCTCAGGGTATTGAGGTTTCTAATGGGATGAGTTTGCACAGCCACTGGGTTTGGCTCCTAAAAATTTTCACAAGGGTTTTTCAAAATATCTGTAGATATTTTGATAGGGAATGAGGTGACTACCTTCCTATAATTAAGTCAAGTGTAGCTTTTTTTAAGTTTTATTTTTTACTCTTTGGAAACTTAGACCATACCTGTTATTGCAAAGTTGACATAGATTCATAAGTAGTTTTACTGAGGTTTTACTGTATTTGGCAAACATGCTTTTTAAAAATTATGTTCTTAGTCATCCTTGCTGTTTTTTTGTTCACTGGAGCTTGACGTTATTTATAGTTATTTGATTGCAAGCATGATAAAACAAGCCTTATAAAAGGCATTATTATATCTACTAGATAATGTAAATAAAATGTCCATATAGATAAAAGCTTTAATACAGTGGCTGAATTTTGAAATTTCCTTATTTCCTTAATGCCTGGTGAGTAGTTACTGAAAAGAACAGCACAACCTCCCAACAACACAAACAACCTCTCTTTCCTGTGATCCATTTTTATATGTTTTGTTCAGTCTCTCAGCCTTCTGGGAAAAGGTAACTGTTCTTTTCAGGATCATCAAAACTCCTTCGGAAATCACACTGTGGTGGTGTTTGTTTGCCTGTTTAAACTGTGAGCATCACATTTTCATCCTTCTAGTTGGATGATACATTCAGTGCTGTGTTCCTTGAGTTTAAATACAGCACCTGGGAGCTTAGAGCACATTGGGATGCTCATGCTGCAGTCAGAGCACCAGCACCTGCTTGGGATATTTGATCTCCTCCCAGATTTTGCAGTTCATATGCTTTGCCTTTTTCTGAATGTCCTGTTTGTGCTTTTCCCTGCTAGACTGTGTTTTAAGCTCAGAAGAAAGCTGTGCAATTGTGTTTTGTGTCGTAAAATGTGGTTTTTTTCGATGTTCGAGTGCATGTATGTGTTGTAGCTGACCATTATAAAGTTGTAGTGAAGAAATTGCACAGCATTGAGTCCCCACTAGCAGCCCTGGTTTTTGATTTACTTCAGAAGAGTCATACCATGAGTAGAAATTTCTTCCTTTTGACAGTTTTCACACGATCCTTTAGCCTAGGAAGTACAGCCTTTGCCTCTTCATCCATAATTGGGAATTTGCTTATAATTTTGGAGGATATTGCATAATTTTGATTGCAGGAAAATTCTTACAGAGACTTAAACCATATTCTTGTAAGATTCAGCTAAAAAATCCTGATAATAATAGATCCTAAACTGGACTTGGCATCTGTTGATCTGAAGCTAGAGTTAGTCTCACCAGTGCAAATCATTCATCTTTCCACTGTCTGCATCCCGTTATTGCTGCAGTCTTGTGATTCAGAGGTGTAAGAGAGCACATGCTAGGTATTGTATTCTGAATCAGACCATCAATTAATTTAACCTATTCCCTGAGCTGTAATAGGAAGCTTTATCCACTCTCTGTGAAGAAGTTTTTTTATCACAAGGCTGCTGTGGGCTGTTCCTGGTGTATTAAAGCAAGTAAGAGGACTCAGAGAAGGGAATAAATAACAACACATTTACTGCAACCCTTAAATGATTTTGTGAGTGTTCAGCTGTCACATAAAGGAAATGAGGGATGTCAATTAATTTATGTACTTATTATTAGGACCCTTAAATGGAAGTTGGGAGTTCCTGAGAGTCCTCAGAGCTGAAGATCAAACCACAAAACCCAAGGAAACCTTAATTCTGTTCTGCAACAAATGATTTATCTCATTACTTGTGTCCAGGTTCTGTCCCATCTGCATGAGCAACAGGGCAGAAAAACAAGTGGTATCTAAGCATCTACCTTGCTATGCCTGAATATCTTATTAATATTAGGCACATCCAGCTGCTACAGCAGCTCAGATCAGGCCTTGGCAACGTAGTGGTTTGGTTCTTGAGAAGAAGGACTGTTATGATGTTGAACTCTGTGTCATGGCCAAGGATGGAGCTGGTTTTGCTAGAAGTGGAACCTCCTGGCATGTATAGTTTCTTCTGGATAAGCCATTTTGCCTGTGCATTGTGTGCTAATCCAGTGTCTGAAAGGAGTGTAGCTTTGGAAAAGTGTGTGTATAAAAATATTTATATATATATAATATATATATAAATATTTTATATATGTTATATATATATATATATAAATATATAAACCAAACAAACCCCACCAAAAAGTAAAAATCTAACAAATTACCTGTGAATTTAAGTAACCCATGTGTTTGAGGACTTAAACATAGCTGATGTAAAAATGGTACTTTAACATAACTGAACATTTTAAAGCCTGAGTGTGTTTGCAGTTCTGCAGTGGAGTTTGGAAGATGCACTTATGATTCCTCTCTCTGTGAGTGCTCTAATCTTATCTGGACAGGTTCACCCTTTACTTATTTCCCCCAAGGCTTTACACGTGTCTTTGATCCAAGTATGTGATCTATTAATGTGAATGAGTCTTGTGTGTATTGTCTTTATCCTGCTATTGAAAGAGGCATTGTTTGTGAAAACACAGAGTGTTCCACGTTTATGGCTCCCTCTCACGTTATAGATTTGGCTTGTATCCTCCTCATTGTCTTGGCAAGATGAAAATTAAACAAGAATGCTGTGCCCCAATGGGGAAAAGGACACATTAATTATTGTAGCTGAATGACATTGATTACAGCAATTAAGCTTTTTTTTAAAAAAAACAAAAAATCAGACATCATCTATTCTATGTGACTGTGCTAACCCAATATTTTCTTCCTTCATTTTGAATATAGTCTTGGGGAAAAAGCCTTCTTTCGTATTCAAATAACATTATTCTCTCTTCAGATGAGTTGTGCGTATACTACGGTGGAAGAAACAATATCTTAAAAACTCATTCACTTTGCTTTTTTCATCCTTTTTTCTCAATTCCCTTTCCTCTGTTGTCAAGAGAAAAAAATTAGGTACCTGCTGGGAACTAGCAGAAGTTTTGCTTTATAAGCATTTTCTAGATTCAGAAAGCCTCAGGAAAATGTCACATTCAAGTTACTTTAGAATACATTATCTGGGCTCCATTATTGGCTGTGGTTTCTGTCCAAGGTTAAATACTCCGAGCAGTTCTCGGTTTTTACTAACAGGAGCTGCATTGTGTTACTCATGAGGGATTCTATATAAAGGAAACCACGTTTCCGTGATAAAAAACTGATTTCCTTTAGAATGTGCAGTTCACTAGGTGACAATTTTTAATGTGTTTTTAATAAATCAGTTGTGGAAAGAAATAATTTTGCTTTGTTGTGAATATTCCCCCCGGTGTGCTTCTTAAAATTGAGTCCTGGGCTCAAGAACAAACTTGGGTTAAACAGAGTAAAACTGTTGTAACCTGGCTGTAATGTTGTGTTTATGGCAAGACTTATTTATTGGAAAATACAAAATAAACAGGCATTTGGGTAATTATTTTGTTGCAGTGCTGTAATGCAGGGGATAAACGATGCCTGCTCTTAAGCCATTCACCACCATAAACTCCTCCACTTCTTTATGGTACTGTAGGTTTCTCTTCATAATTTTATTTTGGAAAGCAGAAAAAATCCTGATGAGCCAAGAGATTTATCTTCTGGGTTTTTTTAGTATTATGTGAAAACTTCAAATGGTTTAATAAGCTTTTTCCTCAGTGAGTCTTACAAGTCTTTTTTTTGCTGTTGCTTTTAAAAATTGCAGTGCTGATGTAAAATACCACCAGTTTTATTGCTTAGAACAGTCGAATGTTTTAAAATAATTTTGAATAATTTCATGCATTTTGCCGCATTGTGTATGACTAGAGAATAATTTCTGTTCCCTTAAAATGCACTTACTTGTCATTGATATGTGTAAAACCTCTTCAATAAATAAAGATATATTCATGAAAAAAACTGTATGTACATTACTCAAGAGCAGCAGTGATGTGCTCTGTAGCTGCATTCTTTTGACAGGTAACAATTCAGAATATTCAGTCTATGTTAGACAAATGAAAGTGTTTTTTATATGTCTCTGATTATTCTTCACTTGCTTTAGCAAAAAGGGGGAGGAAAATGTGTGAAGTGATGGGAATTTTGAGAGATTTGACTGTGGACCAGTGAGAAGTCAGTAGTGATTAGTTCAACTGTTAGTAATAACACTGTTTAATATGACCTTATGCAAGTAGTAAAGTAAGGCTTGTTGTGCTAAATATTAGCATATTCCTACAATACCAACATCTCATTTAATTCATGCACATGTTATTAGTTGTTTGTTTTATGTAAAAAAGTGAAGACATCACCATTTTCTCTGGTGATAATCCCAAGTGCCTTGTATTTCAGGAAAAAAATCCCATCTCCTTTAACAGGTAGAACTTCTAGTGTTTGTTCCTTAATTTAAATATTGACTATATGAATCTGTGTGCTTAAAGCTTTGTTTTCTTTTGGTATTTGAAAATCAAGAAATCCTTTGATGTGTTTGTTTTCAGGAGCAGAGTGTGAAGACCTCATAGAAGAGTTGCTGTGTTGCCTCATCCAGCTTATTGTTGAAATTCCACTCTTGTAAGTTGGCTTTTTTAATTTTTTTTCAGCCTTCTTGTACAAACTGATCATTTGAGACAATATGAAACTCGTAGTGATGGGTTTGTAGTGTTTAAATACTTGCACGTGAATGTTCCACATGATGGTGCAGTGCTGATAATGATACCCTGCTGCCAGTGCCAGCCCTGAATGTTCTGTTGGCAGAAGTACACGGTGAGCATCTCACACACACTTCACACCATCAACAGAAGTTATTCCATATAGTTTTGTAGGAGTTTTGACGTTTGTTTCAGCTACCTCTGTCAGGACACAGCCAGCTACTGGTGGAAGTGGTTGTGCTGATGGTGCATTGGAGGTGTCACTTCATCTCTTGGGGATGCAGAGAGGTGAAAACTAAAGTTCTTCTGCAGTTGAGTGGGGTTTTAAATGGCAAAAATAAATCATGTCGCTTATTTGGTACTGATTTCTGAAATACCAGCAAATTGATGTCTGAGGAAGAGAAATGAGTAAGTGGAATGTTTCTGTGGATCTGCAGATTTGTTTACATGACTCTTTTTTTCAGGTATCTGCTGTATTTGAGAGATGTTGATGCCACATCTCACTGGGATATGTGACATAAACCCTACTTCAGTGTTATATGCAGGGGAGCTTACTTTGTTCTTTGGAAATAGGTGTTCTTCCATACCTGTTCTGATGAGTTTTCACCTCTTTTTTCCCCAAGATAAACTTTACTAAAGGTAGTGTTAGCAGTGTTAAGTTAACAGTCTTTACTGTTAAATTGCAATATAGTCTGTGCCTAAAATGCAGTGCCCCAATTGAAGACTCTCAGCTCTGAAAGAGTTTCAGATTATGTGTTACAAGGTAGTATAGATCTCTGCTGATTTTGTACTTGGAATTGTTCTTTTGGCTGGAGAACTGACAAAGATGCAATGCTTTTTGAAACATTCCTCTCATTAAATACAGCTCTGTCAACATCACAGGAGGGTTTTGTGTAGGTAGTGTGTAATGAGTTAGTGGTATGATTCAGTGTCGTTCCGCAGAGCTTGTCAGGACTTCCTGGAACAGATACACTCTTTGTTCGGAGCAGATTAGAGGAAGTACAAAGGGCTGAAAGGACTGCGATACACGGGCAAGTTCATAAATCCTTCAGGGTTTTATTTGTCTTTCTTGGAAGTACCAATGTGTGCGTGGAGCCCAATATCATTTATTCTGCCTTTTCTGGCAGGAGAAGATTTACTGGCGTGATTGTTCTTCACCCCTTTCAGCAGCTGAACCTGCCAGCGTCTCTGTTCCTGTGTGAATGAGGTTGCTGGGAGTGGAAGCAGCTGTTGAAAGCACTTGGTTTGCTGTATAATCTAGTGATAATAATGGCTTATTAAAGAAAAAAAAAGTTATAAAGCCTGTCCATAATCTTTATTTTTTGACTATATCAAAAACTTTTCATAAGAGACAGATGTGGAAGATTTTTGTTTTGTTTTGTTTTCTTAGCTGATTTTTTCCTGAAGTAGCATGCTGCTGAATTATTAATAAGATACTAACACTTTTAAAAGTGTATATTATTGCCTTGTTTACCATTAGAATATGTTTAACAATGTGATATGACCTTAACTAAAAATTTTATTCCCATATCATCAAAGGGGAAGTAGGGTAGGAGAAAGGAGATATGGGAAAACTTTTATTTCTCTAAGAGACAATCCAAATCTCTTCTTCATAAAGATGTTTTAAGATATTACTGTAATACTGATTTTTTTTCAGGAAAATGCTCAGGATTGTTTTAGTAGTGAGTTTACCTTTTGCTTGCCTCGCTCTCCCTGAATCACTGTAGATTCTTTTCCAACTTTGTGTCAAGGGGATAGATAATTTCTGTCTTTAGCTGGAATAAATCAAGAGAATTACAAGCCTAGTATGTGAATTTGGGGAAGGAATAGACTGAGTGGAATACATGAAATATTCAAACTTGTAATAGTTTCTGTGTCAGACTTAGGATCACCTGCTAGAGGACAGGCAGCTTTGGGAGCTTACAGTGGCACTGTAACAGAGTGTGTGTCTGTAAAGCTGCTATTAAAGATGATTTTTTGTTGTGACAGACCATTAAAATCTCTGTACTGAGCCTGTCTTTGAAGTGTCATTCAGAATAGCAAAGATTTTGTTAGGAGCATTCAATAGCCTTAACAGGATTGTCACAATTAGTGTGTCCCTTGGGCTCTGTCGATCCAGTTTGGTGAAGAAGTGGATACAGCTGGCAGCTGCTGTCCTAATATATTGCTTCTCTGCACCCCAGTTTAAGCTTCTGTTTTTGTCCTTCACTGAAACTTTATTTCTAAAGCAGGGAAGACCCATCTCTGTGCCCAGAATGCAGGAGGAGAGGTACCTGTGCAACAGCACTCCTTGCTTTTGGACTGGTTCTGAGTGTCACATCAGGTGCTTGGGATACCTGTGTGTGGTATTTTCCAGGGAGGGCGGCCCTGGGGAGAAAGTCCTGGGGGCTGATGGGGGAGAGGCTGGACATGGCCCAGCCCGGAAACCCCTGTGCCCTGGGCTGATCCCACAGCGTGGGCAGCAGGGGAGGGGGGGATTCTGCCCCTCTGTCCCCTCGGGTGAGACCCCCCTGCAGAGCTGCCTCCAGCCCTGGGGAACAACAGCACAGGGATGTGGAGCTGCTGGAGAGAGTCCAGAGGAGGCCATGGAGATGCTCCGAGGGCTGGAGCCCCTCTGCTCTGGAGCCAGGCTGGGAGAGCTGGGGGGGTTCACCTGGAGAAGAGAAGGCTCCAGGGAGACCTGAGAGCCCCTTCCAGGGCCTAAAGGGGCTCCAGGAGAGCTGGAGAGGGACATGGGACAAGGGATGGAGGGACAGGACAAGGGGCAATGGCTTCCCACTGCCAGAGGGCAGGGATAGATGGGGTATTGGTAAGGAATTGGTGTCTGTGAGGGTGGTGAGGCCCTGGCACATGCTGTCCAGAGAAGCTGTGTCTGCCCCTGGATCCCTGGAAGTGTTGAAGTCCAGGTTGGATGGGATTTGGAGCAACCTGTTCTAATGGAAGGTGTCCCTGCCCATGGCTGTGGTTGGAACTGGATGAGCTTTAAGTTTCCTCCCAACCCAAACCATTCCAGAATTCTAAGTGTAAGAGTTTGGGCTTGGCAGGGACACTGAATTCATGAAGGCTCAAGTCCTCCCCAAGCACAGGCAGAGCTTGCTCACCTCTCAGCTTGCTCTGGTAGCAGCCCTGGCAGAATAAGCTCATTTCTGAGTACAAAACAACCTACAGACTTACTTGGAAATTGCAGGTGGGCGGTCTAGCTCAGAGCTAATAAGGAAGGTGGGGAATGGAGAACCAGATAAATGGCAAATGTGTAACCCACCTCTCTGTATCCCTTATTATGAAACGTAATTGGTTTTTGTTGGGAAAGGCTGCAGAGATATATAGCAGAGCATATTTAGGAGTGTCTCAGTTTTCTACAATGAATTAAAGTATTTCTCCAAGTTAGCTTGTACTGGAAAAGGCAAATATGTTTTAAGGCAGAAATAGGTTGCAGAAGGGACTCTGGGACTGTGCAGCATTTTAGTGCTGTGTCTGAGAGGTATTAAAAAGATCTTGAATTACCTTTTTGAAAAACAGGCTGTGCTGCTTTGTACAGAATGCCAGGGAACAAGGTTTCAGGTTTAATTTTATAGAAAATACAGCATTATTGCTTTTCAAGAATTAGACTTATACAGTCCCTTATAACATTTGTGTTGCCGTGTGTTGATGTTTGATTTATGATTCCCTTGGGAATGTTATGGATACTCTGCTTTTTCTTTGGTTTTGTTAATCTTAGCACTCAAGAGTGTACACTAATGATTAAAACTGCATAGTCGGCAAAAAGATGCAACATTAGTATTTAATTTAATTGTATGACTTTTATGTAGAAACTATTGCTAACGTTTTGTTGTAGGATAGAGCTCCCAAAGCTTTGAATTGTAAAGGCTTCTTTCAGCAGCTTGTTAAGAGCTGGTATCCATAACTGAACATCTGGTTGTTATCAGTGCATTTTCACTTCATTAAAAACTATAAATGCATATGGGGGAAAAATGAAATACTGTGATCTAGTTACATCACTCCTTAGTAGCACCCTGTGGTGCCAGTAGAAGTTAGTTGTATTTCTATTACATTCCAGTATTTTCTGTAGTTACAGCTGTTTTAGGTGGCGGTCTTAGTTGTTTGCAAGTTTAAATGTTAATGTTTTGACTCATTTAGGGGTGCTTGCTGTGTTTCGTGGGAACTTGAAAGTCGAACATAGGAGGGAAGAAGGGCAATATAATTGATTAAAAAGCTCTACAGAATCTCTGCAGCATAGAAACGGTGCCACTTGCAGACATAGAGAAGTGTTCAGCCCTTTTTCCTTGCTAGTTGTGAGCAGAGAAAAGGATAAGAACTGTTTTTGTCCTACTTCAGGAGCGTCATATTTTAATGCTTTTTTTTGTTATTTTCGAAAGAATAGGTCAGAATGCTGCTTTTTAAAGAAGGTCTGTTCAGGTAACTTTTACCAGGATTGTGGGAGCTCCGTTGTTTGAAAAGCTATTTGCCTTTTGCATTTTTGGTGTCTTTGTCTAATCGCCAAAGGCAAACTTCCATCTGCTGAAACTGAGGTTGAAGGTAGCGAAAATACTCAAACTCAGAGAGATTTGTGTTGCTTCACATTGAAGAGCCTCAAAGTTTGAGACTATTGTGCTCTGTTTAGGAGGAGTCTGATTCATATAAAGGGAGTTTCATTTGCTGCTGCACCTTGGGGTGCAGCAAATAGAACATATTTATGTATTTGGAAGATTTTCTTACTCACTCATATCCTTATTTCTGATGGCAGATGTGTGGTGTCTTAAGTGTCTGAAGGTCCTGAATAGGAAAACCTTTATCTGCATCACATATTCTTTGTTCTGTTCTAATTTAGTTTTTATTTTAGACCTCGATCACTGTTTCTCCATGACCAGTCTTTTCACTACCCAAGTTTTAACCAATGTTCAACTTGCAACAAACTTTCTAACT